TCCCTTGGACAAGTGGATGAGTGAATGGATGATGCTCTGTGCTGCTCCGGCCTGGTACACAGCCCTCTGTGTGAGGGGGTGGGGTGGGGTGGGGGTTGGAGGTGTGCACTCACCGTGAAGGGAGAGAGACAGGAGATGATGTTGGTATTGTGAGGGAATCTAGATGCTATCCCTGAAGGTGGGTATATGATCCCTGGATCCAGGATGCCTGGGTTCAAAGCCAAGCCCTGCTGCTTGCTCATGGAGTAGTTTGAGGCAAGTTCCTTAACCTCCCTGTGATTACATCCCCCTACCTGCAAAACAGGGACCCTAATTCCTGCGAGGATTGCTGTGAGGGTTTGTTGAGGTCATGTTTGTAGAGCATGTGTCCCCATTTTGCAGGGGCAGGAGCTGAGATTCAGGCAGGAGGCCTCATCTGAGGTCCACTAACAAGGAGCAGAGTTAGGATTTGCAGTCAGCCCAGCTCCGGCTGCACCTAGCTCCAGGTCTGGGGAGGCAGGGGTGCTGTACGTCCGCACTCTGAGAGGGCAGCCTCTGCGACTTATCTCCAGAAAGACTCCCTCTGACAGCCTACAGGGCGCATCCTAAGGAGGCTGCGTGAGTGCCTGGCAGACACCAAGCCAGACACCGATGAGTGATCCCAGCCAAAGCGATGCCAGGTGTGTAGGTGTGTCAGCGCTCCTTGGGGTTTGCAATGATGATTTTGGAGATGCAGAGCCTCAGGCTTTTCTTCCACGTTTCCAGGCAGACTTCCTGTCAGCAACCGAATGCCTAACTGTACATGCCATCCTGGGGTGCTGCTTGGCCCTGGCCCACCGTGGGTGCACAATAGGGCCACTTTGAGTTAGCTCCTCCCCCGAAGGGCCCCATCTGGTGCCCCTGCCCTCGGCAGTGTCGGGAGGCTCGTCCCGGGGACTTTTGTTGCCAGTGTTGGCACTAGTGAGTCCTTCTTCAGACCGCCCTCTGTCCTGGTGGCTCATGGGCAAGGGCCACCGAGAAAGCTTTTTCCCAGGAAGAGCTGTGTCTTCTCCAAATCTCTGATGTTAAGTGTCCCAGCCTCCACACCCTCAAAGCTGCCCTGTGGGTCTCAGCACAATTACGCAGTGCAGTGGGCTGAGAATCCTCCCCCCTACCCCCACCCCCGTCAGCCCCTCCTTTAGAGCCCATGGCCCTTCTGAGTTAAAGTCAGCGTTGGTGAAACCCAAGGAAAGTAGTTTAAGGATGTTTCCAAATAGTGTCTGGTGCAACAAAGGGGCGATTCATCCGCTTTTAGTGGCTTTTAGTCACCTACTTCCCATTCTGGGAATGAGATTGTTCAGCTTAGCAAGAGGCGCCAAATCAGCCTGCATGACTGGACAGTTTGCTGCTTCCAAAATGTGGGAGAGAGGCTGCCTGAGCCAGGGTGCTCCTGGCATAGCTGCTCCGGAGTTCTCTCCTTGTCCCCTGTGGCTTCCAGTTTCCAGATGCTGCACTCAGGAAATAAGGACATCAACAAGAAGGGGTGTGTGTGTGTGTGTGTAAGGACATCAACAAGAAGGTGTGTGTGTGTGTGTGTGTGTGTAAGGACATCAACAAGAAGGTGTGTGTGTATGTGTGTGTAAGGACATCAACAAGAAGGGGTGTGTGTGTGTGTGTAAGGATATCAACAAGAAGGTGTGTGTGTGTGTGTAAGGACATCAACAAGAAGGTGTGTGTGTGTGTGTGTGTGTGTGTGTAAGGACATCAACAAAAAGGTGTGTGTGTGTCCCTGTTAGCTCTTGTCAATATAAGAAAGCCTGTTGTGTGTGTGTGTGTCCCTGTTAGCTCTTGTCAAGATAAGAAAGCCTGTTGCTGTATGTGTGTGTGTGTGTGTGTGTGTGTGTGTGTGTGTGTGTCCATGTTAGCTCTTGTCAAGATAAGAAAGCCTGTTGCCCTGGAGGAGATGGGCTCAGAGGTGCCCATGGGCGTGGGATGTGCAGGGCGGTTTCAATGGCTGGGATCTCCACAGAATCAGACTGCTGCCTGCCCGGCCTTTCTTCAGCCCCACCACTGGTTGGGGCTCACCCTTTAACTTTGTAGTTAGCACCCCACCCCCTCAAAACCAAACTCGCTTCCACCAAGTCCATGCTGACTCAGGGCGACCCCCTGTGGATTTCTGAGACCCTCGCTGTTGACGGGAGTAAAAAGCCCAGTCTTTCTCCCAAGGAACTGCTGGTGGTTTTGAACTGCCGACCATGTGGATCCCAGGCCAATGAGAAGCACTATGCCACCAGTAGACAATTGTGGCCCAGTGTCTGCCCTGCTCTCTCTGGGTGGCCTTTCTCCTGCATGGGCTGATGGGTCTTCCTTCTCTGAGGCCTGGGCTTTGGGACCACCCTCCTCCCACTCCACCCCCTAGCTTGCTACTCAAACTTCCTGGGACCCTGCCTGTTCACCTTTCCTGCTGTTCCTTTTTATTCATGGCCCCCAGCTTGATGGCCCCCCCAAATAGACCAGACTGTCCCCTGGGCCTTCGCCCTAAGCCTGCAGCACGTGTGCCTCATGTCCCCTTGAAAGAAGGTGTCTTTCTCTTAGGGCACTTTCCGGATCCCATGTAGCAGTTAGCATCCGTTGGGTTATGCTGCGGCAGCCAGTGCCCCAAAGAGTTCATTGGGTTTGTCAGGTGGTAGCCTGTGGAGACAAGAAAGCAGTTCATCTGGGCAGTCTGGCATTGGGGAGCCCTTGGAATTCTTTGCAGGGTGTTGTGTGCATTCTCATAGGACCCATGCCCTTCCCTCTGGACTTCCCAAAAAACAAACAAACACAAAAACCCAAAGCCCCAACAAACAAAGGAGGAGTCTGCTGCTTACCCCTCCCTCAGCATAGGAAGTCCCTGGGAGCCTCCACAGGTGGCTGGGCCCACTCTGCATTGAGTAGGATGCAGAAAGATTTGAATTTTTGGCAGGCACTCCAGGTTGGAGGTTTGTGACCACCCAGAGGCCTGGCGACCTACTTCCAAGAAATTAGCCACTGGAAACCGTCCGGGCACAGTTCTACCATCACACACGTGAGCCACCGAGCCAGAGGCAGCTCGATGGCAGCTGCGTCCATCCTTTCTCCAAGATCCCAGCCTTATTTTGTCCGGTTTATCCTAGCTGACAGCAAGGCCATGGCATGCTGACCTTTCTCTCCTCAGTATCCGATCCAGTCCCTGGCACCTAGTAGGTGCTCAGTAAGTCTTTGCTGGGTGGCTCCTGGCTATGAGCCGGAGCTGGCTTCCTTTACAGGAGCTGTGAGGTCGCACACAGCCCGGTTTTGCTTGGGGGCCTGCTGGTTTCTGCAGTGGGGGCTGGGGCAGCTGGGAGCACACAGACCAGTGCTAATTGGTGTCATTGAGTAATGAATGCAGACTCAGCCCCAAGTGGAGTCCCAGGGAGACAGACATTGAGGGAGGCTTTCTTGCCCGGTGGGGTGGGGGCTGCTTTCTCAAAGGCCGTCCCCAGAGCACTGAGGCCACTGACATGGCTTGGTAGGGGGGCTTGGCAGGCGGAGTGGGCTTTGGGGAGCGAGTGTGAGGGGTTTGTGTTGGTGCCATGGCTCTGTACCATATGGAGCGTGGCAGGTTGACTTTAAAGAAACACAAACCACAGGCTGGTGCCCCAGGAGCCAGGCTGCACTGGCTGTGGGGGCTGCCTGTGGCTGGGCATTAGCTGAGCATTCCCAGAGACCCCCCTGGGGCCTGGCTCTCTGGGACATCCTTCCCTTCAGCTGGCTCTCTCAGGTCCCTGTGATGTCTCCTGGGTTCAACCTCCCCCGCCTTTTGTTCTTCTTAAGCCTGAGTAGAGCAGTTATCTTCTGAGCCCCTGCCCTTGGCCCCAAACACTCTTTATCCCCTCTCCCTTGCCAAAGCTCCAGCCACCCTCCAGATGGTGACCACGGTGCCCTTTCTTCCAGGGCGCTTCCCCTGGCCGCCAGGATAGGCTGGGTCACACCGCTGCCGCACCCGTGTCCCTTGCTCCCTCACAGCCTTCTCTCTGGTAGGAGGCTGTGGGCAGGAGGGCTTCTAGCGGCTTCTTCTTGACACAGCTCCTGCAGTGGCTAAAAAACAAAAAACAAGGAGCCTCCAGCGAGACAAAGAATACTTGCTGTGGGGCTGAGGCCAGCTGCTGGTGACCCCTGTGGGTCAGGGGCCAGTGGTGTCCAGTAGGGTTTTCTTTCGGTGCTGGTGTTGCTTTGGGAGTAGACTACGGTGACCAGACATCCTGCTTTTGGCAGGACAGTCCCGATTTTTAACAATTTGTCCCGCGTCCCATGGCATTTTTAAAAAGTCCCGATTTTTGGAAAGAATTCACAGCAAGCTAGGGTATACGGTTTTCGTCTGCCATGTGGCTATTTCGCCAGGATATGAGTTTTATCAATGGTGTCCCGCTTTACCAATGTTAAAATCTGGTCACCTTAGAGTACACTGCCGGGCCTTTCTAAGGAACCATCTCTGGAGGCCCTCGACCCTCTGACCGTCCAGTTAGCAGCTGAGCGCATGCGTGGCTTTTAGCACCAGCCAGGGACTCCCTGTGATGGCGAAGCCGTCTTGGCAAAGGTAGAGCTGAGACCACTCTGAGCCATGCCTCCTGGCTCTGCTAGCATCTCTCCCAAGTGGCACGGGTCGGTTTCACTGGTCCACCATCTCATGCGGCCACTCCTGAGTTCAGGAGTGTGGGGTCTCACCCTGGGAAGGAACATAGGACCTTATTAACAGGCATGCCGTCTCCCAGGTCTCCCAAGGAGAGGGTGCCCTTTGGCCTTCCCAAGGCTCCTGTGCTTTCCCCACCTGCTGCCCTGTCCACCTTCCTTCCTCCCAGAGAGGGAGATGCAGGATGGCAGGGCCAGTACTCAGTTGCCCCTCAGGCCCCTGAACCCCACCCTGCTCACAGAGGCCCTTTGGTGGATGGCTGGTGGGAGGCGGGGGAAGGAGTGGGCCCTTCTCTGCTGGCGGGGAGTTTTCTGGTCGCCCCCATGACTCTGGGACCCCTTTCCTCCCACAGGCGCCGGGTCTTGGCCATCTCAGATGGCATCGAGCATATTGGGAACCTCCGTGGGGAATTGGCCTTGTGTCTGCTGGCGGCCTGGACCATCTGCTACTTCTGCATCTGGAAAGGGACCAAGTCCACTGGAAAGGTAAGAGAAGGGTCTCTAAGCAATGGCCGGTGGGCCGAGGGGGCCTCCTGTTGGCCTTGGAGAAGCTCAGCGACAGCGGGGCTATTGTTCCTTTTGAGGTGCCAGCCCCTCAGTCCGGCTATGCAAGGAGCACTGTTCTGGGAGGACCTCAGAGGATTGGTGCGTGAACGGGAACCCCCCAGGCACCCCAGCACACAGTTGCTGCTCCCTTAGGGCTCACTCTTCCGGCCGTCTGCCCTAGTTACCTGAACTCCACACCACGGTGACTTTAAAGAACAGGAATGTATTTTCTTATGGTTCTGGAGGACAAGAATCCAGATCAGCTGCTCGGCCCTGCCAACTCCCCCATCGGCAGCCCCCTGAAGGGTTCCCCGACTTGCAGACAGTTCTCGGGTGGCATCTGTCTCCCGCTGCACTGACCGCGTGGCTGCATCCATCTCTTTGGCGCTTTTATGCTGCGTAGATGATTCGGTTCATGACCTGCCTCCATCAGGAGCAGCCTCGCATTCAAAACGATTTCCAAGTAGGTTCGCAGCTGTGAAGGCCGGCAGGTCCACAGTCACTTGGGGGAACACAGTTCAAACATCACACCCCCAAGCTTCAGCTTCCTCACAGTGAAACACCTCCTGCCTGCACCCTCTCTGACACCATGAACCCAGAGCCTCCCCAGGTGAGGGGGTGGGGGTGGGGGGATGTGGGAAAGCCAGGCAGTGCTGCGGCATGCCTGGGCACGTCTTTCCCAGGAGTGTGTGCAGGGCGGTGGTGACGATGACGGCACTGCACCCATTGCCAGCTGCCTCCCGTGCCATCAGGCCCCGTGGTCACCATGCAGAAGCCACACCCCTGTCTGTCTGCGGGGCTGAGCAGGACTGCTCCCTCTGCGGGGTGGCTGGCTCCGGGGCTCGCTGAAAACGAGTGCGGGACAGATAGAACCCATACATGTGTTTTGTGTTTAATTTTTAAAATTCATTGCCAGCGTTTAAAACTCGCGGGAATCTCAGGTGGGAAAAGGAGAAATCTGATGGGTGGCATCCTGTGAACAGCTGTTTCCAGCGGCAGAGGCTGGTGAGAGCCTCCACAGAAGCAGGAGTGCAGGGACCCGGCTCCTTTGGCTCTCGAAGGGCTGGCTGGGGGAAGAGGAGGCGCTGGGGCAGTGTGAGGTGGACAGCGTGCAGCAGGGCGGTCAGAGCAGGCACTCTAAAGCCGGAGCCACTGCCCTCGAGCCCTCGCCAGTGTTTAGGGTTCCCGGGCTTGCAAATCTTCACAGGATCAGACAGCCTCGCGTTTCTCCTGCAGAGCACCTGGTGGGTTTGAACCATGGACCTCGCTGTTAGCAGCTCAACACCTACCCAACAAGGGCTCCTTAGCAAACCCCGTGCCAGAGGTGACGCGGAGATGGAGGGTCCAGGAGAACACACGGACAGAGTCCTGATGTGTTGGGGCCCATGGCAGGGAGCACGGGGCCCCCAGGGCCCCCCAGCCTGCAGGATGCTGCTGATGCTTGCTTTATCTGATTCGTACGATGAAGAGCATAGTTTCTTTTCATTCCAGAATACAAATGTTGGCATTCGTGATACATTTCTTCACTCTGCACTAGCGCTTTGCTGTGCTCTGCTGGCATAGTTCATACACCCGGCTCCCGGACCCTCACCTGGCCCAGGGCCAGGACCTGGAGTCAGACTCAAATGTCCGGTCACCCTCTGGCCATGGCCTTGGGCATGTCATGACCTCCCCTGAGCCTCGTCTCCTCTTCTGTAAAAGGAAGACTGACCCTTCCGCTCCCCTCAGAGGGTGGTTGTCAAGAGTCAGTGGAAGGGTGCATGGTCCGTGTTAACAGGCACTGATGACTAACAGTTAATGGTCATTCTTTTAAAAGCCTTGTTATAAAGATAGAACAAATTCATTCTAAAAGTCCCAGCTATCTCCCTAGCTTTGTGCACTCGGTATCCCAAGGAGGATCCCACAGCCTCTCCGCTGCCCAGAAACGTCGCTCATGGTGAAGCACAAAGTGGAGGAAGGAGGAGACGTGGCTCTGGAGGCCAGGGGTGGTGATTCGAGGCTAGACTGTTCACCCACCATGCCAGAGGCCCGGTTGACCCCCAGCTGACACTCTTAATGCACTGCTGCCACCCACTTGTCACGGAGGCTGCTGGTTGCTGTAGCGCCGAGCGGGTCTCAGGGAGCGTCCAGATGAGGCAGAGGAAAGGCCTGGCGAGCTGCTCCTGCAGTAAAGTGGACATGGTGGTCCACTGGGCAGCGATTCACTGCCCGGTATGTGAGGCCACCACGAGGCAAAGGCGGCTCATACAAAATAGCATCCCAGCAAAACCCAAACCACTGCCGTCGAGCCGGCTCACAGAGACCTTCCTAGGACAGACAGGAGGACGCCTTGGGGCTCCCACGGCCATACTCTTCGTGGGAGCCGATAGCCTCATCTGCCCCCCTGGACCGACAGAGGGCTGAACCACTGACTTTTTGGTTAGCAGCTCGGTGTCACCGACGAGGCCACCAGGGGTTGAGACTGCGAGCAGCAGAAAGGTCACTATGCTCACAACTGCCGTGACAGGACGTTTGAGCAGCTCTCTGGAGGAGAGCATAGCACTGATCAGCACCTTCTGGTGCCCACAGCTCGAGGAGGGATTGCGCACACCCGAGGTCCAGAGAGGTCGTTGGCCAAAGGCAAATGGCCACTCGGAACAAGCATTGATTGTTTCTGACAGGCCACCGCCCTCTGGCTCCCCCTGAACTCTAGATGGAGGTGTAGGCCATTGTTTGAGTGCTTTCTCTCCAGTTGTGGGTATTTTGCTGTGATTGAGAATTCCGCACAGCAAAGCTCAGACCCATTTGGCTGTGGGCCGCTTGGTGACACGATTCCATTCTCGGGGTGGGGTGGGGGAGCCATTCTCACACCCCCTCACCTCCTTTCCTGAGTTCTTTCCTCCCTCGCCAACATAACCTCACCTCCCCCCACTCCATGCACTCCTCAAGGGTCCCATTGAACCGCCCCAGGTGCTCTTGTTGCGTTGACCCCATAGAGATGGTTTTTGTCTCAAAGAGTGTAATGCTCAGGGCAGATCTTTTTGGCTCGTTCAGCTAAGCTGTTATTCTGTTGTAAGATGACTTCTTGGTTTAAGGTTTAAATATTATCCCAGGGCAATCATGGAGGGGTTCAGCCACCCTCCATGGCTCCACAAAGTCCATGAAGACTTGTCCTTATACTCTGACGTGTCTCCCTTTTGATCTGGATCCTCCCATGGAATCTCTGATCCGGATAGTCAGTAATGATTGGCAGTCACTTTTCCGGGCTCCTGGTCTCATGACTTACAAACAACTTGCTCCCATGGAGCCACTGCTGGCTCCTAGCACCCCACTGGGGTCTCTGAGACTCGCACTGTTGATGGGAGTAGAAAGCCCAGTCTTTCTCCCGAGGAGCTGCTGGCAGTTTCGAACTGCCAAACATGCAGATCGTGGGCCCAAGTGGAGGCAGTTAGCACATATTCCATCTCTTCCTCCATTGCCTGGCCCTCCTCCTTTTTCTGCTGCTCTAGATGGGTGGAGACCAACTGTGCTTTGAATAACCTATTCATAAATTTTTAAAAAATTTTAATTCTTTTTCCCCAACAGTTTTATTGGCATCTGATATATATCTCATACCATTCATAAAGCTTTAAGTGTGCAGGCACTCTGTGTGGGCTAGGAGGTAGACCAGAAGCTGCAAACATGCTGTTAGGTACATCACCTGGGACGTCCCATGAAGCCATGGTCCAAACCTCCAAACCCAGGACCAAATCCCCTGGGGGGTTTGGTTGTACATCAGCAGTTACTTTTTATTTTTGGTCATTGTTGCAAATATTTCTATCACACATTTCAACTTTTTATAGGTATAAAATTGCAACTCTTAATGTATCCTATTTCTTTCCATCACCATTAATTCTGCCTTTCCCCCTCCCTCCTTCCCCTGGTCATCATTAATGAGCTGTGGTCTTTATACATTTACTTTAGCATGTCTTTTCACAGAAGTGAGTCCATACCATATTTGCCCTTTTGTGATTGACTTCCTTGGCAACAATGGTTACTTTTCACTTTTCCTTTTGTTTAATCCTCTCTCCAAACTCATTGCCAGTTAATGCTGACTCCCAGCATCCCCTGTGGGTCCCCAAGACCGTCCCTGTCCATGGAAGTAGAAAGCCCAGTCTGTCTCCCTTGGACCTGCTGGTGGTTTCGAATGCCAACCACGTGGATTGCAGCCCAGTGCGTAACCACTCTGCCACCAGGGAAGTGGCATCTCATTGTGGTTTGATTATATCTCTCTGATGGCTAATGATGCCCTGCATCTTTTCTTGAGTGGCCATTGGAATGTCCTCTTCTGTGGGATGTTTTATTTGAGTTCTTCTTCCATGTGATGATTGGGTTGTTGGTGTTAATAAGTTGCTGTTAATAAGTCATCAAAGTTCATATATATATTTGGTTATTAGATTCTTATTGTATCTATGATGTCCAGGACATTCTCCAACTCAGTAGCATCTCTTTCCACTTTGGGGATGATGTCTTTTGATGAGCAGAGCCTTTCATTTGATGATGTCCGGTGTGTGTGTGCGCGTGTGTGTGCTGCTGTTGCTGTTTTTATCCTAGCCGATGACCCATTGTTGAAGCTGGGCCTGACAGCATGACCCTTGCTTGTTCTTTTAAGAACGTGACGGTTTCCGCTTGCCTATGTCGCGTCTGAACCCATTCTGAATTTGTTTTTGTGTCTGGTGTGTGGCCCGGGTCAGCATGTCCTTTTTCTGCATGTGGAAATCCCAGTTCCTCGGCACACTTTACTGAAGAGACGCTTCTCTCCCCCATCGAGTGGACTTTACCCTCTGGACAGAAGTCAGCTGGCTATCTGTGTGTGGGTTTATTCTGGGCCCTCTGTTCTATCCCACTGCTCTCCGTGTCTGTCTGTCTGTCTGTCTGTCTGTCTGTCTGTCTGTCTGTCTGTCTGTCAGGGCTGCCTTTCA